CTCTAGAGGTCCCTTCCAACCCTAAGCATTCTATGATTCTATGATATTTACCTCTCATAACATCATTGACACTTCGAGTTGCAGGAGGTGCACGAAGTTCCTCGCATCCAGGCATTTTCCTCCCACCATTTGGATAAAAATCCAGGTGTCCACAATTCTGAAGAATCCCTGGAGCTGAAATATGTAAAATGTTTCAAGGCTCTTTCTAAAGGCGATGGCAAACTTCAGTGTAGGTGTTGTTTCCTATGCAAAACTTACCAAAGTCAAAGAACAGATGACCAGCATGAGTGTGAATTATATCAACGAAATTCGCATCTGAAGGGTCCAGCCTAACCATGTCTGGTGTATTCTGGAAAAGAGGCCCAGCTGGATCCAAACCTAAATAAAATGAAAATGTGTCTGATTGTGTTAACAAGTTATGTATATCTCATCGTATTCAATGTGCATACAGGGTTTGCCATTGCATTTCTGTTGGTACTCAGAAGACCGATGGGAAAATGTTTAGCTTGTTTTGGGTGAAGAATGTCAGGAGTGTGTGTGGGGGTTGTGCATTCATGAAGGATATTAAGACTAGAATTTTCATTTGGTCAAAAATCTATTTTTAGTTGCAGAAAAGTTTATTTGAAACTTCTAGTCTCTTCATTTAGTGTCAGTAGGTTCTTCTGTGAGACAAAACAGTGGAATTCAGATCCTGCTTCCCTAAAGTACTTTTTTCACTGCATAATGTATATATAGCTCAGTGATAGCAATATACATACAGATAGGAGAACTGACTGTAGGAGAAATGGAAGTAGAAAGTACTGGGACATTAAAAACATACTGTTAATGCCTTATTATGCCACATATCCCTGCATAGCTGTGCAGCCAGTGACCGTCTTTTTCTTGAGGGTACCCAGAGCTACTTATTATGTCTTCTTAACCTAACAAATACAGATTTTTAATTTTTCATTTCAGATTTCCAATTTTCTGAATTGTTGAAAAGTCATGATAAAGTGGATTTAAAGAAAAAAAGTTGATAACAAGTTTCTAATATTCTATAAACCATTTACTCCACATGTAATACACTGTAATTTGACTGAAAGTCAGTAGTAGTATGGTGAGATTCGTTGTGCCCTATGCAAAGTGACTCATATTTAGCTACAGAAGGGACAGGGAAGCTCTTGTGACTGTGTTCCAGTCTGGTCTTTCTGAAGGCCATGAAAAGTGACATGTAAGACATGTGACATGGCATGTGACATGGCTTCGTTTATGTGTGGTTACGCCAGCCATATGTCGCTACACATGACAACCCCTGCATAGTGCAGCCTGTCCAGTGGGTTTGTGAGGCAGAAGTTGCTTCTTCGGCCCTTTTGTGTTGGTTCCTCCTGCTATGAGAGCACTAAGCTTCATCAGTTGCAATAGCTTCACTACCTGTTATTCGTCCAATGCCAGGTTTCCTTCTCCCGGCCTCCCCTGCAGCATGTGCTCCGAGACTATGGCCAATCAAATGAATCTTGGCAGGAGAGTAGCCATATTCCTTCTGGGAAGATATATGGAAAGGAAAAAAAAGAAAGCTTGCTAAGTTGGTGACACAAGCCTGAGGCACTGCATCAAAGCCTCAAGCTCTACTAGGCCATGACTAGTACCTCAACTCCTGCAGAATTAGAGACCTTTGATAATATTATCAGCTGTACTATTGAGGACCTCTGTGCTTTCTGATTTGCACCGGAGATGGAAAGGTGCTACCTTTGTCCTACAGACTATACACCCGTGACCATGTGCCACAAATTCCTTTACCTCAAGAAGGTTCACCAAGTATGTGAGCTCAGCCCCCACCACGCGGACGTTGTTAACTGCTTCGGTGTACAAGCCGCTAGAGCCGCCTCTCCAGTCAGTCAAGATGCAGTTCACATCTTCAACGTGAAACATGGACTGGTGGGTGTGAAAACAGGACACGAGAAGAAAACACACAGGAATCACAACTGTCCTGGGTTGTATACAAATAACTCGTTCTGCTTTAACTCACTTTAGTTATGACAGGTTTGATTTTTGCATCCCACTTGTAGAGCTGTCAAACTGCTTCTGTCCAGTCTCTTTTGAGCTCCACTCCTGCTCTCCTGCTCCCTTATCTGGGCATGTGAAGTTTATGGAGCAACTCATAGGTAGACTATGTAGACTTGTAGTCTGCAAGTCTATAGAGTAGACTGGTTTGGAGTAGTTGACAAATTAGTTATCCCTGTCAGCGAGGTGGAACACAAGTGGGGAAGAGTGGGGATAAACCAAGGATATTTACAACATGAACAGGATTTAGCCAGTGACTGTTTCTGAAGGAAAATTATACCAATTCTAAAGCCATTTTTAGCAGTGTGTTTTTCTCCTAGTTTCCGAGGAAATCAAACCTTGCTGTATTTTCTTTTTCAAAAAGTAACAATGTAAAATGATGCTCTATTCTTTGTTCATTTATGTGACTACTAAAGATACATCTTCAGAATTTTTATTCTTACTGCAGAATCAACACAAGGAGGCAGAGTGGAGGTAGTAATTTGAACACTTATACTAGGACATGCAATAGCTTGTTTCAATTCTGTTTCCCCTCCCACATATCTTGGTTCACTTCAGGGAATCAGATTCTTTTACTACCAGTGCCACAGTTAGAAAAAAGGGTAGTTTCTCTAACCTTTATTCTCCAAACTTTATTCTCGAAAATTATATACTTCTCTCATCTGAAAGGATCCACAAATTTGTGTTGAGGTGGTTGAGTAGTTCAGCCCCCAACTGTGTACTTTTAAAATAAAATACTCTATTTAGCCACTGATATCAGGAAATATTTGATTTTTCATTTTGAAACAATTACATTTTTGAAATGTACCTAAATAAACTGTAACTAATTGCCTGAACAAAGCATTTATTCTTATTATATCAAATGCCTTATTCAATCTGAAATGTTTAGTTTAACCGTTCCTTGAGGTTGGAAAAATGACTTTTGTCTTTAATTCTGTGAAGGAATTGTAAAAAATCAAATAATTATAGCTTTCACTATGAAGGCAAATTCAGCAATTAACAGGAGGTTGAAGTACACCATAGTTGTACCTGAGGACGGAATGGTAGACATATAAAACTCACTCTGCTTCTGAGTTTTTTTTCCTCCTGTGTTCTTAGTATTAACAGGAAATCAGAGGTGTAAATTTTAGCTGGGAATTCTAAGCCAGTTAATGGAGGAGAAAGGAGATATGAAATTTCAAATGCAATTGGATTGCTGTCAAATAATAGTCACGTCATACCCTGCACATTTCTGTTATCCAGGAGAGGTCTGCTCCAGCCAGATGGCCATGGATAACGAAACGAGTTTTCCTGTGTGCTTGAAAATTTGAAGTTTTAATAGTTGAAGGATCTGTAGCAGAAATTTTCTGTGTCAAAACAAAACAAAAGATGTGAGTGCTTTGTACCAGTGAACGTGTTTGTATAGGGACGGGGTATCTCAATGGTAGGAGCATAATTCTGGGCTCTGAAGAGGTGGGACTTGTTCCTGACCCTTCAACTGCTTGGCTAGATGATAGCAGCTAATCATTTCCACACATGATTCACTTCCTCTGTTTAACTGAACTGGCAATGCTGCAGTCTTTGCACAATGCTTTGAGATTTGCTGGAACAACGTACCTTGTAAGTATGAGGATTTATCAAAAGTAGCCAATGAAATACAAAGGCAGTATCTCAAACTTTGAAGTCACTGTGGAGGTGACTTCAGATTTTTCTTTCTTTTTCTTTCCCGCTAGGCTTTCTTTTTCTTTGAAGGCAAAACCTTTATCTCTAAGTTTATTTATATTTTATCTTAAAGAGATTTTAAACAGTATGAAAAAAAACCCATCAGACTGTAGGTAGCGTTGGCTCTATTGAGCGAGGCAGCAATAATATTTTCTTACAAAAATTCTGAATACCATTTTGGCTTAAAACTTAGACTCTTATTTACTTTTTGTTATGCATAAACAATTCAGTATCCTGAAAGAGAACGCAATGTACTAATTAACCTGTATCTCACCTACAGTGGAATTTTGATTGAAATTAAAGGACACAGCAAACAGGTTGTCTCAGTAAGAGATTTTGGTTTAGTTATGACTTTTTCTAAAGTGATTCATAAAAAGGAGAAATCATTTAAAATCTACACTGTTTCTGCTTGCCATATGTATTACAAAAAAAGTTGAAGCCTTTTACACGTATCATAAGCAAACAACAACAAATCACAAACCTATTATTTTCCATGTCATTATATTATTTTTCCTTGTTTTTCTCCAAGTAAAGCTAACACTCTCTGATAGGTTATTTACCAAAATAATCCACAATTCCACAAATCCCTTTGTGCTATGGCTGAGCTCAGGCCAGACTCCTCCAACATCTCAAGAAGGTCAGGTGCACATTCTCATGTAAGACTTTCCCTGCGCTCACTGGTCTTCAAAGGAAAAGGCTGAGACACTGCTCATATCTTTCAGTATATTTTTATTTACTCCTGCCTACATAGGGCTGAAAAGTCCTTTCAGCTACTTATTGGTTGCTCTATCACTGTCCATGGCTTCCTTTCACTGCCACTAATTTGGAAATGTTGCAGATATCTTGTCCCTTTTTTCTTTTCTCTTCCATGCACCTTCAGTCTGCCGTGGCTACTCAGAGCTGGCCGTGGAGACAGAGCCCAGTTGTACTTTGGCTGGGTGCATCTATCTCCATGAGGAGCTAACCTGACTCCAATCTCTGCAAGAGAACATCCAGGCCCTCTCCATGCTGTACCTTACCATGGCTTTTTCTTTGGATTTTTGGTCACCATTCTTGAAAAACTGTTTAATATTTGTATCTTTTCCTTTTTTATCCATCCCCCTTTCATTCTATGTTTTGGGTCGTTATTTTCTTCCGTTTCCACACATTCTTTTCTGTGTTTTTCCTTTAGGATCTGCTTGTCCTTTCTATGTTTTCTTTATTTTTTCCTCCCATTTTCCATTCTTTCTCTGTTGAATGTTACTACTTTCTCTTTTAATCTTCTCTCCTATTGCTATTACTTCTCTCCTATCTGCTATCAGATCTCACCATTGTTCAGGACATAAGCAGAGCTTCTGTGAGCAACCATATGGACCTAGAGATACAACCCTGAGATCTGGGTCTTGTCCTAAAACTGTCCCTCCAGTTTTTCATCTGGAGACACGGAAGAGCCAAAATTGACCTCTCCTACTCCTAGCTCTCGCACTATAATGATATATGACTGAAATGGATTTTGAACCATTATGGAAAATTTTATGGAAAAGTATATAAAATGTTCCAAAATACCTCAGCTAACTTGTGTTAGAAGGCTATAATTAATATGTTGCTAATATAACTGGTCTGTAAAATAGCTGAAATGAAGAAAAATGAGATAAAAGGAACTGCCATGCACTGTTCATTGAGTGTATAAGATAGACTTGAGGCCTTTCCCGGGAGACCTGTGAGCAAAAATATTGAAGCCTGTTCATTGAGTGTATAAGATAGACTCTTTCCTGGGAGACCTGTGAGCAAAAATATTGAAGTGAAAAAACAAGCTGTATTATTTCTTGAGTGCATAGTCTACTATAAGTGTTTAAAACAAAGCGTTTTTTTACTTGGTATCTCATGATGTTGTCTCTTGTGAAAAGGAGGAAATTGGTATTCACAGCCTCGGGAGGGCTAGGCAAGCCTGCCAGCCGTCTTTCTGGAATCCCAGACCAAGGAGGATCATCCGTAAAGCATCCAAGCCTTTTGTAGCAAACTTGTCTTCCTGGGGAGCACAGAGAACAAATCATTATTTGCTATTGGCTCAGAGCAGTCCTTCAAATTAGAGCTAATGTTTCTGGAGTTTCTATAGTGTTATTTCACAGACAACAACTCATGAAGTAATAGAAAGAAACCAAAGCATTAAAACACATATCTCTGGTGTCACTATTTCTTACATTAAACATCTACTTTACCGTTTATCATCATAAGATTTTAGAGGAAGCAATAAAGTTGAGTTTTAGTGGAAGCCTAGAGACTAGGGAAGTATGGTCTGTGCCTAGACTAGTTTCCCAGTTTCTACTGTGGTTTTAGTGTGACAGGGATGCAAATCTGGCATCCAGTTGGGCTGTGCTGCATCACTGCGCTAGATTTAGTTATTTTCAAAGAGTCTTTCCACTGATGCCAGTGAACTTCTGGATTGTGTCTGTTTCCCTGGGTTATGTTTGTATGTCTGTCTCTACTGATCCATTCTTTCCAGAATATCTGTGAAGCCAGGACCACTTTTTTGTTTTCTGTCTAGCAGTGCAAAGAGTAAACTTTGTCTGGCATGACAAAAGTTTTTGCATGTCTAGTCATTCTGGTGGAAGCTGAACACAACTTTTACTGCTCTTTTTCTGTCTTTATACATATCTTACCTCTGGCTGCATCAAGAAGAAAAAGAGTAGTAATCCATACTGCAAACATCTAAAGCAAATAAGAACACAGTTCAAATTTAGTGAAAATTAGAATATGGGTTTTAACTAGGTTGCATAGATCCATTAATGTCAAATTGGCCATAGCATAATTCAGACATTTTTATGAATTAAACCCTAAAGAATCAATATTTCCTAAAAGATTTAGGAAAAATACCATTGGAATTCTTTTTGTTTGCAATGGAGTTTCTGAGTACGTAGGATATCCTCTGAGCATCTCTTAGAGACCGTGTTCCTCGCTGTGACACACAGAAGGTTTGTTTTTCCTTTAGCACTGCAATTTGTGAGCAGATAAATGAGGTCTTAGTGAACTGCAACAGCATATTTTCGTGAAGAATTGAAATTTCTTTTGCTATTTAATAGAAAAGTTGCTCAGATTTGCTATTCAGTGATTGTACTTGAAAGAACTAAGAATCACGTGTAGTTTATATTTGTAAATCATAGGGATAATCAAGAAAACTCATATTGATCTTTGTTATCAGCTATGTATGTTTATCAGCGCTGATCTGCTTGATCACTTAATAATATGCTAATAAGTTAGTATCAGAATTAATGGAACCACTTACGTACTTCGAGGTAAATGTGCTGAGATGTTTCATTGGATCCGAATCCTAATCAATAGCTGAGCTTGTTCAGATGCCTGCCAGTCTGCAAGTTAGTTCTGATCATACTATACAAATTAACAAATGCAATATTCCATATGCCTTTCCAAGGTAAGTATATAGCTCAAATTCAAGGGTATTCTATCAACTGATAGAGATACTGATTTTAAGATGTTTCATGCATTCTTTAACATATTAAATTTGAGTTTCTGATTGATCTAAACACATAACATATGGATTTATAACTGTGGATTTGCTATTATGTTTCAAATTTAAATCAAGGAAATAAGAAAATCAGCTTTCTACAACACAGACTCAGTATTCACTTTCTCAGTTTATGAGTTCTTTCGTGGGTGGTCTTTGGAATTGAGAGCAAAATATATTACATATTTTCATCAGCTGCACAGTACAATTTTACTCTATTGAGATTTTTTGTGTGTGTAAATCAAGCTGCATACCTTGATTTCATAACAAAGGGCCAAAATGAGTCTTGTATTCCCCAAACCCTAGACAAAAATACTGTACTATAATAAAAAATATATATTTTGGTTTTAATGATACCAAAAAAAGGACATTGAGAGATCTTAGGCAGGGAAATAATTTGAAATGAAGATTAGAAAATGACAGATTTTACAGGAGATTAGCAGAGTAAGGAGAACAGGTCTAATAACATCTACCCAGTGCCCTTTCATTCATTCTCTGCTGCAAAAGAAGTAGTGAATGTCTTCTAAGTGCGGTCTTATTACTAGTAAAGGCGCCATTAGTCAGTGACACAGTATAAATGCAGGTTGGTTTTATGACCTGCTTCTCAAGCATTATTTAACGTGAGGAAGAGAAAAAAAAGGGCTCGCTCACTTTGACGTAGAAGCTGATAGAACATTCTTAGAAAATTCCTGCATCTGTTCCTGTTTCTCTAATAAATCCTGCATGGACCCAATCCCGTGACCCCTACCACAACCCCCTGAAGACCATGAAGTGCTGCCTGGAGCAAAGTGTCCATCCATGTGGAACTCGCTGCAGGATCAGATGCATCCTGCTCAAGCCACTCACTAAAGCCGGCTCGTGAGGCCCCTTATCCGAGTTCCTTAGATGTTCTTGGCTCCTATGTATCCCGCTTTACCTCGGCAGGGCTGAGTTCACCTGTCAGGTGATCGTGGCCACCCTGGAAGCTTTGCAGAAGCCCCGTCAGCGTTTGGCACGATGGTGTGCCTGCCCTCCGGAGCCAAAATGGTTCCTCTTGCAGCCGCTCCTCCACTTGTAGGTTCCCAACAGCATCTGACTTTCTTGGCCAGTGCCAAGAGAGGTCTCACTGGGCTAGGAATGCTCCATCTAAGATGACATGAACCAGTTCAAACCAGTTTTCGTAGGACTCCACCTATTTAATCTTTAGAGCAAAGTTTCAAATACTGTCATTCACCACCAACGAGGCCTGGGCAGTGTGCTGTAAACACTGCACGAACACACGGCCCTCCAGGTTTCCGAGCAGGGTCTCTCATCACCTGGGATATTAAGAATTATATCGAGTCTCGATCCAAGTGACTTGCTCAGCATCACACAGGGACACTAGCAGAGCTCCTACTCCAAGTCGTAATAGCAAAACCACCCTTCCTGCAGCTGACTCTTATGTCAAATAATTTATAGCTTAAAGCAATTTTTTCAAATATGTGTTTGACAGCGGAGTCTACTATTAGAACCCCAACACATAAATAAGGTGGTGTGGGACCTGCTAGCAAGTACACTTGCAATATTTGAGCTGTAATCACTAGTAAATATGAAAGAACTTACTGCTCTTTTCTGAATGCATTAACTACTTGAATTGTCCCTGGTTTTATCTTATCAGGAACATGCACATGGGCCACTCAGTTCACAGGCTGACCTATTCCACAGTAATTTTGTTCAAGGATCCATATCCTTGTGAGGTTCAGTATTCACTTGGACTGAGCTGAGATTGTTCTATTTGGGACCCAGGACTGAAAATGCTGGCAATTTTTAATGTGAAATAATATAAAAGGCAAAAAATAAGATAAGTATGAAATACTAAAAAAAAAAAAAAAAAGATGCAGTCTGTCATTTGTTGCATGTTCATCTTATAGGCTTTTCTTTGAAAAAAAAAAGGCAGACGTACTTTTAAACAGGGGAGAAGAGTGCCTTGGGCACATTGTCACTGCAAACCATTGTACTATACCATACCATAATTAAACTGTATTAATTACAGTAATTTTAGTTTTAAGTGTGTTGATAATCATTTTATTTCACATCGTACTGTATTTTTGTCATACTGCTATGATAACACTTCTGATCAGGCTTTCCAAGAAATACTTTTTTCCAGTATTTAGACACAAAATGTATAACTTGCATCTCAGCATTTTAATGCCAAGACCTTTAAGTACGCTGGGCACCACCTAAGACAAGGGTGTGCAGAAAGGGGAGACCCCCTTTGGATAATCCCTTCCAGGGCTTGTTGGCTCTTTGCTCATATCTAACACATACGAGTATGGAACTGGCTTAAAGCAATTTCTAAGAGTGTGAGATACAAAAACATTTCTAGCCTTTGTTGCTCAGCTGCTCTAGAAAGATTAGTGACTTCAGGTAAAGTTTGTAGAAACAAACTGGATCCTCCAACCTTGTGCTCTGCAACTCTAACAAAACCTTGAAAAGAGGGTCATTGTGTATCTTGTGCTTTTCGTGTCCTATTATCTAAGATACCCTGGAAAACTGCTGAATTATTCATCATCAAATTAACGTGAGTTGTCTTCTGCTCATGTAACTAAAGACTGCTGTCAATTGATCAGCTAACAAGTCATTAGTAGTATACAACAAGCAAAAATCCTGTTTTTTGGAAAAGGTAGTTAAAAGAAACACAAGAATATCAACTTGGACAAAAAGATCAAGTGAAAGAGGTGCTTGAATACCGTATCAGGCTCCAAGGGAGTGGATGCTTCTGTGTTTATACCTCTAAGCACTTACAGACAAACAGAGAAAAGTTAATTCATTAGATTTCAAAGAGCCCCACAGAAAATTAAGAACTAATCTACATTGCATGTTTCTGATTTAATTCTATTATATAAAATATATATAACCAAACTCATTTCATTCTGTCACCATAGCTTCTTCCCACTTCAGAAGCAGAGTTTATTGCAGAAGCAGGTCACTCAAGCCATTAAATTATTCTGATTAATTCAATGTTACCCTCATTAATTCAAATTCACGGACTGTACCTATAGGCAGAGTATTTTGGTGCATACGCTCTCTGGGAATTCTTTGCATTGAGAAACCTGGCATTATACCTTGCAGCTCCCAATCTACATCCCAAACCCTACCTCAAAAATCTGTGAAGATTTTAGGTCACTTACAAGATTTAGTGACTTTGTCAAGATATAATTAGGATGATAAGGTGTTGAAAGGGTTTTGATTTTACCTGTGAGGAGAGGATCACTGGCTCACATCCTTGATGCAAAGATGTGTATTATACAGTCATAAGTAATTATTTCAGCTAGTACCAAGCTTCAGTCAGAGTTTAACTTCTATAGGCTTTTCACAGAGCCCATGAAGTGGTTATTTCGAGAAATCCTGCCTGCCTTTTAGCAGTGGGAGACACCACAGCTCTGTTTAGTGCTTAAGACAAGGTTAGCAGCAGAGCAGTGGGGCATCTGCGCTTTTGTAATGAATTAGTCAGAGGATTTACTCCAGTTGACAAGCATGAAATAGATTTTCTATGCTCATTTACTAATGCCAGCAAAGCTCCTAGCTCAGCAACATTGCTAGATATCAGCATTTCCATGTCAGCTTCTTCTAGAAAACTTTCCCCTTTATTTGGTTAACTGCTTCCATGTGTAGTTGGGAACTATGTAGGAAGGAGCAAGCCACAAAGAGTTGACTCTCAACTCCTTAAAAATGGTGGACCATTTGCCAGTTCATGGCAAATGAGCAATTTCTCTACAAATTTCTCCACCATGAGCTTGTCCAAGCTTTTCTGGAACTCGCGTGCACTTTTAGTATAGGCTGCACCCTGTATCTAGCAGTTGCACAAGGGAATTATGCAACTGGGAGAAGAATCATCTCCTGTTTGCTTTGAGCAGGTGCAACTGCTAGCTTCATTTCATGCCATCTGCCAGCAGTGTGGACAAGACATTGACCAAGTCCTTTTCTGTTTGCCTTCTCCTTATCATCGGTTTATAGGTCTCCGCCATGTCCTCATCTCTTTCCCAGGCTCCCTTCCACGTTTCTCACATATTTGAGACTAGGGGAGAAATGACTGCGTGCTCTACTAACTACGCAACAGGAGATCTTTTGCCTTCTAATGCCAAGGCCCGTAAGAAAAGTTCCTGCTGTCTTACAATGCGCTGTGTTTTCTTGAGGAAAGCAGTGGCCAAAGGTAGAAGAAGGTTCTTTCTGCAGCTCAGGGATTGCTCTTGGAAGTCCTGCCTATAGTAACATCTGCAAGAGGGAAACTGGTGTGATGAAGTGTAGTACATTTATTAGCTTTGCATTAAAAAATGGGACTAAGAGGGACCATTCGTTAACCTCTTTGTGCAAGGCTGTTTATGCTATTTTATCTCTTTGTTCCTTATTTGCAGTTGCACTCACTTGTCCTGTCTTAACTTGACTAGTAATCTTTCTGGGCAGGGACCAGCCTCTCTACCTCTGCATATTGTGAGGAGTATAATTCAGCTTTGGGTACTGTCTGAAGCCTTTGTATTAACAGCAGCAGTAATATATAAATCATCTTATTCAACGTGCCCTTTTTAAGAACTTCCTTAAGAAAGTGGCACTCCTGAAAAAAACACTTAAATACCAGCATGTATTTTTCATTTCTTACCAATCTGCTTGGCTTTTAAAATAGATATGAAGGGATTGCTATTCCTTTCATCTTCTGTTCCTTCATTGTGACCCAGCTTCCAATATTTTTATTGATGTCAATCCCTATGGGATCACTTGTAGAATAATATGCTTCTTAGTATGAGAAAGGGGCACCAAATGTTAAGTTCCACTTGCTTTGCATTTTAATACCATTTAAAATAACAGCCGGTGAGTGACATGCTTCTGAAAGAAGCTGCACTTTTTCCTCCTACTTCTTGAGATGAATGGAGATACTGTTTGAGTTGAACTGTATTGCTTTTGGCTATATTTTGTCCCCAAATTTGAAATAGAGTGAAGAAGCTGCTTAGGAGCATTTGCTCTCCATAGCAGTAACTGTTTTCATATATTCAGCTCTGTCCCTAGCCATCCTGTATTCATCACTCAACTATTAGTTTTCCAGCTTTGTTAACTACAGCTCTTACTCGCACTCCTGAAAAGTGGGGCGAGGAATGATTAAGGAATAGGCAACACTTCCGTGAGCTGTGCCTGGCCTCTTACTGTCCAGACCAGGAGGTGCTCTCTAGCCTGGTGTGTCCTGGACGTATCTGGCCTGTTTGGGTTTCTTTAAAACATCCTTCTACCACACTATGCAGTCAGTTATTTAGTGCGAGTTCAGAGTTCTAAGAAAACTTGGTAATTCTATCCTGCCAAAGTAAGAGAGCGGAGATAAGCATCCTCTTTCAGTCCTAATGCTGTTTAAGTTTCATTTGGCAAGATTAAATCACATCAACTTCAGACTAGAAAAAAAGTTGGGGAAAAAAAAATGCCATATTAACCTTTAGAGGAAACAGGTCAGGAAAGCAAGGAGTGAATGAAAGCATGGATTTGAGAAACATTTTTTGTTGTTTTTACATAATAGTGGTGCAATTGCTAATAGCATCATGATAATGATTAGACTGTGGTTAGAGCAATTGCTTGCAGTTTGCAGGAGTCAAGGCTACATACTTGAAACAGATGTAGTTGGTCTGAGACACTGATTGGGTTTATTAGAGTTAGACTGATTTACACTGGCTGAGAGCAGAAACTTGTGGCTTTATATGTGCAATAAATTGATTCTGGCAGTTATGTCTTAGCTTGTGTCAGAGACAGAATTACAATTGAGGTAGATTTTTCTCATTTCTGTGGTTAAAAACCCTTGTGCTTTATGCACATTTTGAGGTTGCTGGGACAAATCTATCTGGTAGCATAAATACTGGAGTGATGCCTTCAGATTCTGTATGACTTTTTAAAGTATTACACCTGTTAATAAAATTAGAGATGCTGCATTTTATACTAAATAGGTAACATCATTTTGCCAGGTGTCTGATTTATTTTGTATATCCTGATAGCATCTTTTTCTATATATATGTATATATATTTTTAAATAGACACTAAAGGTGAAGAGGCCTGTAAATTTGTTATATTGAACACTACCAGATCTTGCGTGTGTTTCAATCTCAATCCGGTCTCTGAATATCCTTGTATCTCAATTTTCCTGAACTATTAAATGAAGACTGTAACTGCTGAAGCAGAACCCTCCTTATTTAAAAAAGGATGATGAAGTCAGTGGAATGATATTGTTTTGTGCTAGCTATTAGCTGCTTTTAAGTATCTATACCTATGAAATAGTTTAGTGATTTCATATCAGTTTTAATGTAGCTTGAATTATGAGGATTTGGTTGTTATTTTGCAGGCACTGTTTTTGTTCTGCTGAACATGCCTAAATTTCAGTTAAGTACATCAGGTATCCATTAAGGTGCTGTTACGTATATGATACTGTTTTTCGTTTCTTAACTATTGGTGTTGTGGCAATATGTGTAATGACTCAGTAACTGTATTTTGTTCTGTGACTGTCCTTAATGCTTGTAGCCTGTGCTGAGAGTTTGTGGATGTCCCTGCCTTGTGCCTTGCCAGGAATGGAAGTTTGACTGTCCGTTTGGGCTGCTGATAATGTGTGGATTATCAGGTGCTCATGGACAGCTCCATATTTGACTGCAATCTAGAGCTATTGAAAAAAAGGAAGGCATTTTTATTCTGGTTTTGATACCACTGTTTCTGCAAAACTGAGCTTCACCATTGACATTGCCAGCCTTTTGTTACAAACACATTTATGTTTACAAAATTCAGAAGAAAGGACTAGAGAAAATAGTTGAAATTTTTAAATTCTGGATGAGAATTACAAAGCACAAAACTCAGAGTCATCTAAGTCTAACTAATGTGGGGGTGGAATTTTGCAATCAGGCCAGCGTGCAACCTATAAAGACATTTCCACACTGATTATATATGCTAAGCTTAATTGGAATATTTCATAATGCGAGTCCAACCCAGCCTCTTTTTAAAGTCATTTGAAATTGTTGCCATTGCTTTCAAAAAGCAAAGGCAGAAGCCTGTATTTCAGTATTGACTGAAATGATAAGTGATATATCTAGTGATATGTCTCTGATTTGTATTTGAAGTGCAAGGAAATATCTGAAAAAAATATTGGATTTCCATAATATTTCGGTGAACTGTTACTGATGAACTACCTTCTAAGCATGAGGATCCAGAGAGTTACAACCTTTAGGAGTGGTTTCTGTGCTGGCTTCAGGCTTCTGAAAACCAGTGGGCTGTTGGTGGACACACTCCCTCTAAATGATATGGGCTCTGACATTGGGTAATGCAACAGTTAAATCTCATTAAAAGAAGGGGCTATTTAGGCAGCTTTCTAAACTGTGTTTGAAAAATCACAGTGCTGCCGTGTCCTGCAGCCTGCACATGAGTGTCTGTGTCTGCCCTCGGGAGAGGGTGCCGAGGCTGCAGACACCAACCTGGTGTTCTCAGCTCAGGGAAGGCTGGTCTGAACTGTGCAGGTGTTTGGAGGGTTGCTGGCCCTGGTTGTTTTTGCCATTTGGATCATTAAGTGGTGAGCAATCTCTGTTAACATCTCGCGGACAGCGCTAGGGTTGTCAGCAGTCACGAGAAGCAAGAACCAAGTGACGCGGAGGCGGCGAGCAGAATAAGCCGTGGTGGCTTGAGCTCCTGCCCATCTCCTTGAGGAGCAGCACAGGGACAAACGAGCCGCTCTGCAGCGTTTCCCTGCCGGGGCTGGTGTGCCAGGCACGCGATCTCAGCGTCCTGCACTGCTGGAGGGAGCCGGCCAAACCGGCCCTGCCTCAGCAGCCACGCAAGGGAAGCTCCCATGTCGAGCGTTTGTTTGGGACCAGAACGTGCTGTCAGCCAAGCAGGTCCGGTTTGTGGAGCCAGCAGGTTTCAGAGTCATCCCGGCCACCCGTGACATGAAGAGCAGTCAGAGCCTGTGCCACATCTTGTAAAAAACAGAGGGGCTCCAGACAGACCCACGCGCCTTGGCTGCAGAGAACTGACGCCAGCGGCCTCATTGCCCTCTCTGCTGGCCCTAGGAAACAGAGCGTTTGCTCGGGAAATCACAGGGAATTCACTGCTGTCAACTTCATGAGGGCAAAGAAAACCAGCTCTTGTGTTTCTTTAAAACTTCCTGCTAGCCTTGCAAAATACACTTTAAAGGGGTAATTTTTCCTGACCTTCATGTAGCTGCTAGCACTTCTTAAAGAAATTGCTCCTTCTGTGCAATAAAGCACAAAATCTGTCAGCTAAACTGACACATGGAGTTTTTTTTTTTAATTTGCATTTTTTAATGCAAAATGAAGGCAGTAAGGATGCTAAAGGCCTGTTTAGTCTAGCGCTGTTCTCATATTAACTACAAGTGCATTCCATGGCATGAAATCTTACGTATAGTAGAGATATTGCTTTGTAAGTTCTTGGTTTCGCCTCCATAGATTTTCTTTGCTACACCCTGTTTCCAACTAAGATTTCATCTTGGAAATTGTTTGTGTCCTGGAGTAATATTACAAACTCTTGAATTTCAATCAGTTAAATTATTTTTTTCCATAGCACTATGCAGATGCCTGAATTTTAACAGAATTATCAGACTCTCTGCTCTGTATACCTTAGTCTTTATGGATAGCACATTGACTGCGCATACTTTTCTATGTCATTGAAACCAAGTTTCTCACTGGAAATAAAGCAAGAAGTGTCCTGGGACAATTATAAAATTTGCAGATAATGGGAGAGTGTTAAGTAGGTATTTACAAGGTATTTACATAATTCCCCTCTTCCTTGAATAGATGTTGACTATAAGGTTTCAGATGTAAATCTAGGCAAATATAGAAGCCTCAGTTTGTGAGGAGCATGTGCAAGCTGTGGTTCACAATGCCAAAAAGAAAATAGAAAAATAAATAAATAAAGCCATGGCACATGTGAGATGGTCAATATTCTACTTGTTACTCTTAGGTGTTTTTTCCTTTAAGATGAATGTCGCTGAACTGATTTCTTTCACTGATGAAATTGGTTTTAAACAAAATATATTTTGAAGCCAGCTGTTAATCCAGAGTCAGGAAAATGAGAGCAGCTTGGCTTGCACCTTTGAATTCTGTTTTATAGCAGTGTCTTTTCCAACATACTTAGTGCCAGTTACTTGCATCACAGCAGCACCTAGAGGCTAATGCTCTACAGGCTCAATGTGGAAAGGCTTTGATGCCCATGCAGCAAACAGGTGAAAGAAGTAGAGAGAGAGATGGAGGAAGTTGTTTCCTTGTAAATCAAGCAAAACATGAGCCAGCTGACAGTAGTCATTGACATCTACTCCATTAGCAGTCACTGGTTAATGGGATTTTGTAGGTAAAAGGGTGCTGCAGTGGCTCTTAGAAGGATTTAAAGGAATTGAGGTAAAACTTTGCTATTTCTGCTGCCTCATGCTGTTTTTCCTGTCATTTTTTTTTCTACTTTATATCTGTGCTCTTATATGTGGAAAGTCAGAGCTAGCTGTATTTTTCTAGAATGGTAACTAAGCCTTGGCTTACATATATTCCTTCTCCCCACAACTGGTGAATAAAACTTCCCAGGAAACTACATTTCGGGTAGGGAAGCAAAGCTGGTTTGCGGGCAAAACAGTTTATGCTCCAGGCCCCATAGCGCCCTCGGCCCTGCCCCGAACTTCACTTGTGCAGCCGCCTCCTTCCCGCTTCGTGAGGCGGCCGTGTCCTCGGCCTGACCCACGTGAGGCCTGCGCTCTGATACCCTGAGTTATCCCTGCACATCCAGGGCCATCAACCTATAAATATTAATGCTCTAAACCTATAGCCGGTCATTTTGGCTGAAGGTGATAGCTGAGCTTGTATGGTGTCCTAGGGAAGGGCTCTCCTTCCTTCTACGTGTGTAGGGTGCGGTACAGAGAGCTGCTTCACCCTGGCTGCAAATGCCGCAGGGTGGATGGAGCTGAGTCATGAGGGAAGTAAATTGGAGCCACTGGAATGAGCACCGGGTTTGTCAAAATCTGGTACCTTTCTTGGAACTTGAAGCTGTTGGAGTGGAGGAATTTGAAAAAACAAACAAACATTTTCCATGAACAAAGGATACATCCCTCCTCTTCCCCCCCCCCCATTTCATTAGTTTGTTGTTGTTATTATAGTATTAAGGAAGCATTAATAAGCATATTAAGAACAATATTCTTATAAGAATAATATCTTTAATAAGATATATCTTATTTATATATGGAGTTATAACTGTACAGACACAAATATGACAGGCAAGGCTGTCTTCTTCCTTTTTGAGAAGTTAACCTCTGAAAAAGCTCTCAGATTTTTCCATACTTACTTCTATGCCCAGCCAAGTATTCCTAGTTAAAGAAAGTGCTGCAGATTTTTTAATGGACATCACAACTATTACAGTTAATGCTAGACCATTTTCTGATGACGCACATGTTCATACCACCATCTAGTGCAACTCCTGCGGCAGTGCAGTAGCTGTGTGCAGTGTGACATATGAAATCTTTATTATTAATAGCTTTCTCTGAATGATTAATCTCATTGATGTGCTTGCTGACCGCAGTAATAGCTCCCTATTAAAAGAAAATGGAAACAGAATATAACTGGTCTCCTACCACTAAGCCCCATGTAAGCAGTGCACTGCCTTGCATACTTTATGGGCTTATTTTTCTCACATGTGTTAGTAATTTCAAGATAGTAATCGTTTCCCCAGCATATTAATAAACATGTACA